GTAACCGACGGTCCCGAGATTACCGAATGTAACCGTCGCGAGATTAGCGGGACCACCACCCATAAGTAGAGGACCTCACTCCCCGATCAGGTACGATGATCTCTGGCTTCGAACTAAACTTGGAATCCGACCTATACTGACTTGATCGTCGGAGTGCTCACCCTTTTGTGCAGGTTCGCCTAAGTGTTCAGGTCGGTCCGGAGGCCGAGTTCGAACTACAATCAGGAACACACTGCTGTGCAAATCCTTGCATAAACACATTACGATCTTAATTTTTGTTAAATTTAATATTAAATTATGAATATATAAGTTGACCATGACGCGAATTCTCGTACTATATATGGCCTTATAGACTATAGTTGTCGCCAGTCGTGGTCTATTACATTTATATATTGTGGCTAAAGTCAGTCGGTTAGTTGTAGTCTATAGCGTAGACTATAGTGCCCATATATACTACGGTTAGAAAACCATATTCTATTTTGATTCAATGTTGCAGTAATATTCAATTTAATGGGTGGAATCAAATCTTAGGATCTTCCTTCCTATTGATTTTCTATTTATTATGGTATCTGTTTATTTGTTTTAATTCTATTCTCTCATTCGGATTTGATTCTCTAAAAAAATTGATCAATTGTATTCGTGACATTTGAGAGTGAGCTAGAAATCCAACCGAGAGGATGATCAAAATCGATAATTACTTACCTTCTATATTAAAACTTGACACGTGCACTTGCGGTTATCAATTTGCGGTTATCAATTTTTGCCACTTTAAACGACATATCAAATAGATTATGCACTCATTAATAATACTTAGGCATTGAGAGTAGATCAATTAAAAGTGGATTAACAAAAGCAATTTATGAATTTATCATCGACACTCATTAAAGTCTTTTAGATAACAAATAAAAGTAAACCTTGATCATTTTAAATGGGTATCGAACTAGAACAAATATTTGTTCTTCTTGAATACCTAGATTCAGTGCTGATATCCTTTTCTTTAGAGGTTGAATCAATCAAAATAAGAATTAGGCCAAAAATTAAGATACCATTATAGACAAATAAAACTTCCAACGAAGAGAAGTAAATGAACGGCTTCTCGAGAAACTTCCAAACCAACAAATCTTTCAATTTCTTATTTTAGTATGTTCAACTCTATGTATTCCTCTRTCTGAAGAGTAAAGCGTGCTATCATTTACTAATAAAAGAGCTCAAGTTTATACTATAATATATGCCAAAATCATGATTATAAAATAAACAGTTTGTATAATATATATTTTGTTCAAAAATTGCTAGTGAAGAAAAGGTATTATTTTATCTAACCAGTACACTACTTTCAAAAGAAATATACTTTCTAACAGCATTTCTTTGTAAATCTTTGAATGGGGAATGATTGAGTAAGCTAGCTTTGAGTGTAGAAGAAATTAACATCTTTATCTCTGTTAAAAAGAAGAAGGATTTATACTTTGCTTTGGCTTCAACATCAAGATTTTACTTGATTTAGATTCTTGCCTTACCCAAATAAAATTTACCAAGTTCATGTATTTACTCTTATTTTATTCACTTTCCTCCAAATGGAGATGCAGTTAAATATGGATAAATGAGTACATTTATTTATTCAAAAAATAAAAATAAAAATCAATACCAGCCTAAAATCAAATTTGAAAATCAATATAGAAGTTGACTTTTCTAATAATTCAATTAACTAAACCAACTACTAAAAAAATAATAATAATAAAAACAGAAATATCTTGTATTTTAATTTAATGACTATATTTTTTAAATCTCATTATCATCTCGTTTATTTTATTAAATACTCCCTAGTTTTTTAAATTTTAGTGGACATTATTATTTATTGTATTCCAAACTCAACGAGTTAGTCACTATACAAATAAAAATAAAAATAAAATAAAAACTCAACTGCCTAGATATTTTTAATTTTAAAATCACATAAATTAGAAGTCATGATAGAACAAATCCATATATGATGAACTGAGAAAAAATTTTCGAGAGCTTGAATACTCTTTCCGTTTACTGTTTGCCACGTTAATATTATATTAAAAATGACTGGAACTACCCATATTTATAAAATCAAAATAATAGCGTGAAAAAAAAATAAAAAAAATGAAAAATGAAAAATCTAAGAATTTTTCCAAGTCTTTGGCCAAAGGAATGGAATGGATATGATTCGAAGTGTCGGAAAATCTGAGGGAGGCAATAAAATAAAAGTCAACCATTCTATAAATAGACAGAGAAAAAAGTTAACGGCTGGGAACTTCTCAAATTTTGGAAATCGGACGGCTGAGATATCATTTTGAGAAAGCTGTGAAGCTCCAAATTCCAAGGCTGGATTGTGTTTCTATAAAGCGCAGACTTTTTTTAGAACATGCGGCCGTATTTGGTGCCTTAAACAAGGCGGCGTCGGATAGAGGAGCGCCGCCGCATACGACGGCGGAAGAGAGTGAAAGCGCGGAGGAGATGGGCCAGAGGCTGAGCTGCAGAGCCGGCCATGAAAATGGGTTTTTCAGAGCTATTGAGTTGGGTGAATTGGAAACCCTAATTTCTCTGCTGGAAACAAACCCTTCTCTCATACACCAAACTTCTCCCCACACTCGCGATTCTGCACTTCATTTTGCCGCCGCCCACGGCCACATTGAGGTGGGTTCTTCCCGTTCGTTTCTTGTTTCCTGTTTTTCGATTTAAATTTTCTTAATAAATTTAATGATTTTGCAACTATATCTATGACCAATCCTATTTTTGAATTGGTTACTAGTTTGAACGTTTTGARCTCTGATACCACATCAATATTTATGGGTTTCATCTCAAAATCAATTGATTACGAGGGGTAGTGTATATTATAAGTCTAGGTAAGATTCCTTCTTTTATCAACTTATCAATGTGAGATTCTTGACGATAATCAAAACGTTTTTTTTTATATTTTCATTTTCAATTTGTTCCAAAATTTAAATAAAAATATTATTTTGTCATACTTGAAGTCATAGATGTTGGCTAATGCAATTCATTTTCTTTATTAAAAATGAATAAACATATATAAAAAATAGGAACCTTTCAAATTCAAACACATCCTCATTTTTTATTTGTTAAAATACTATTTTATCCTTACTTTCGACAGTACTTTAAAAAGTGGTCAATTTTAGTCCCTTAATTATATTTTTAATCTTAATTTTTCTATCGCAATTTCAACACAATACGGCTCATAATATATTTTCTAAAATGTTACTATCACTTTGTATTAAAGGGTTTTCGTTTTATGTTAAAATTTTGCAAATAAGAACTAAAATTATGTTGAGTTGTGAATGACATAGCGTTCCTGATAGTAAATGACCAACTAGGTTAGGTTGTCATCTAGATCCCAATAGTTGTTTCGGTCCTAGTCTAGAACCTTTGATTCTTGAGGAGGGTGGCTTGTTTTTATTTTTTATTTTTATTGCACGAATTAGCCAGTCAATTCCCAGGTATCAAAACCAACACAGGGACTAAATCAACTCCTTTTAAATTAGTCATCAACCAAAATGAAATTATGATGATGAATTTAATCTGTTATCATTGCTTACAACAAACAATTCTTCTGTGTGTTGTTGTTTCTCAGATTCTGTCTCTGCTTCTGGAGCGATATGCGATTAATCCAGATGAGGCGAATGGTAAAAAACAGGTGAGTTTTTTTTTTGTTTTTTTTTTTTTTGCTGGGAGATGAAGATTGTGGATGGAGATTATGTGGTTCAATTTTACAGACTGATTAATTAATTTGTGTAATATAATGAATGGTTCAGACGCCGCTGATGTTGGCTGCAATGCATGGCAAGATCTCATGTGTTCAAAAGCTTGTTGAAGTGGGAGCAAATGTAGGCAAATTTTTCAAAACCCTCGCTCATAGAATTCTAATTATTTATTTTTTTAGTATAACATGTGTGGTGAGGATTCGAACTTACAGCTAGGGGTGTTAAAAAAATCCGACAACCCAATAAACCCAATCACCAAAACTGTAAGAGTTGGATTGGGTTAGATGAAGCATGAGTTAGGTTGGGTTGTGATTTTCCGAACTTGATTGGGTTGGGTTGGATCGGGTTGACCATCAATTCAAATCCGTTGGTTCCTATATATGGCCAAATCGAAAATTCGGATTGGTACTAAAACTTCCTCATAACTTGACCCGATTCCACCCAACCCGTGAACACCTCTACTCACAAGTGTGCGGTCGTATAAAGTGTGTGGTCGTATTTAGGTGTCTTAATCTGTCATTTTTTTCAGATTTTGTTGTTCGATTCGGTTGGGAGGAGAACTTGTTTGCATTACGCGGCTTACTATGGCCATTCTGATTGCCTCAAAGCCATTCTGTCAGCTGCTCATTCAAGCCCCATAGCTGTTTCATGGTATAAATTAAATTTTAAGGCATAAAACCATTTTCTATATTTTCTGATTTTAAAAATGAAGTTTCGGAATATTATTTTGACACCAGTCTGTTCTGAAAATAAATGAAAATAGTTTTCCAAAATAGTTTTTGACGTTTTGCTAAGAATTGAAATATATTTTATTAATAAAATTGACAAAAGCAAAAATAAATTATCAAAATGATTATCCAATAGTGGCTAATTTATTTGAATCGTATGTATCGGGTTTAATTAATTTGAGTAGGGGCTATGCACGGTTTGTGAACATTAGAGATGGGAAAGGGGCGACCCCGCTACATCTGGCAGCACGTCGGAGACGAGCAGAATGCGTTCATATTCTGCTCCAAAATGGCGCCCTTGCATGTGCTTCAACTTGTAGATACGGGTGATGATTTTATCTCTTCTTTCTTGATATTTATTACGTTTCATCTCAAAACTAATTGATTTGACAATGAAATTGTAGTAGTCCAAATTCTTAATATATCTCCTCGAATCATTTTCTTTATTCTTTTTTGGATCAGAGGTTGGTTTAAGTTTGTTATATCATTTTAATATTTATAAGGTTTAATCTCAAACATTCTTCTGGTTCAAAAATAATTGAAAATGTCTAGTGACAAAAAAAATGGATCAGGTTTCCAGGAAGCACGGCTCTTCATTTGGCTGCCAGAGGAGGGTCTTTGGACTGCATTCGGGAACTCTTGGCTTGGGGTGCCGACCGTCTTCACACCGACTCGGCTGGGTACGGACATGCATCTCATTTCTTCATTTCTTAAATAATTGAAAATGTTATAAATAGAAGTATTTTACTTAATATTGCAAATTATTAATTCTGAGTTGATGCTCTTAAATAATTTTAGATAACTAAAAAGGTTTTTTTCTTTTACAAAAATGGGTTATTTAAATTAAAAAATGTGTCAAATTCACTCTAAATTATTTTAAGGTACTTCCTTGAAGGGGCCGTTTGTTTCGTGGGAATCTAAGATTCCCGTGAGACGGACATCTCGATTCCTACGTTGTTTTACAGTAATGCAAGATACTCGATATCTCGAGATGTCTGAGTATCTTAGGATGCCCAGACGGAAGGCATCCGAGTCGATTTGGATGCCCTTTTGAAACATGAGTTTCTATGATTCCTACGTCGATGGCATCCTATATTGACATTTTTGTCCCTTCATTATTTTTTCATATATTTTCTTTTATCAAATTTCTTTAGTTTTATTTGTATTTTTATAAATTTAAATAAATTAATGTACTTTTGACTAATAAGCAATTAAGTATATTTATGTATTACACGTACGTATAAAATAAACTTCAATTAAACTATATAATATCTTCATTTACTTTTAATATTTTGAATGACTTATTATGAATAATATCTATCATCTTAAGTACATAATTTTAAATAACATTTTTTTAACCATCAACCTACTTTTGATATTATTATTCTTAAAAGACTATAATTTGATAATGTAATAAATAAATTTCACCAAATATAATATTAATTGTATAATTGTATTTTTTTTAATTTTAAAGTTGAAAATGAAATTTATATTCAATAATAATTACTTTTAAAAAGATCTTATACTAATATGAATTCTAATGACATATAAAAATTAATACATATACGCAATTAATATGAAAAAAACTTAAATTATTAAATTAATTTTAATAAAATATATTATATAAATATAAATTATGTTAGATTAATGTATAAATTATATAAATATTCGTAATGACATTTTTGAAACATTATATAAATTTAGAACATTCATTGAATGAATCCTACAAAACAAACGTGTCTATGATCTATATATTCTCGGACATCATTATATATTTTTGTATGAGACAAAAGTGGTCATCTGAAGATGTCGGACATCTATAATTTCGAACATCTAAAATTCCAGACATCTGAAAATGCCGGACAACTACATTCCCAAAAAAAACAAATGGGCCCTACATGTTGAGTAATAAATATTAAAATTAAGATTAAAATACATCATTTTTTTTTGTTAAAATGCCTATTTTTGACCAGAAAAAAAAGTTGTGCGTTCGAATTTCCATCTATCTTCTGCTAAAATAACCTGTATTTGGCCTGGTGTAGCGAATTTTTAACTTTAACACCTTAGGATCTGTTTGATAACCATTTCGTTTTTGGTTTTTGGTTTTTAAAAAACAGAGTCGTTTGATAACCAATTCAATTTTTTATTTTTTGTTTTTCAAAAACCATTTTAAAATTCTAGCTAAATTAAAAAAAAAAGTAGGTTTCACAAATAGGTTTTTGTTTTTCAAAATCTGATTTTTTTCTTCAAATAGTCGATTCTTTTTTCCTTTCTCATATTTATCTCTAAAAATTTTAATTCGCATTCTAAAATTTTTTTATTTCTAAATTATTATTATTATTTTTCTCTCTCCAAATTTTTCTGTATTTTTGTTTATTTTTCTAACGGACCAGTTTTATTTGTCTAAAAATTTAATATTTTTCCTAATTTTTTTCTCTCTAAAATTTGACATTTTATAACTTTTCTTTTTCGTCCTAATCTATTTTTTCTTCTGAAAATTATATTTTATTTTCTCGTTCAATTTTCTTTTCTGAAACTTTTATTTATCTTTATATTTATTTATTTTCTTTAAAAATTATATTTTGAATCTTGTTATTATCTATAAATTTGTTTCCAATATAATTTTTCTCTTTCTTTATAATTTTTTTCCTTTAAAATATCTTTCCCTCTCGACTTTATTTTTTTTCTCTATAATTTTTCTCTTGTTGTCTTTAACTTTTCTTTAACTATTTTTTTCTAAATCTTTTTATTTATCTTTCTAAAATTTATCTTCCAACTATTTATTTACATCTCTCTAAACTTGTATTTTCATGTCTTTACATTAAGGGGGGAAGACAAAAATTTACGCAGGGTCGCGTCCCAAAAATAGGAAATGCAGACCCCGTCCGCGATTCAATTTTTTTAATAATTAATATATATTTATTACACTTTTTTTATACTTAACTTCTAAAAATAATTAAAAATAATTATAAAACTGATAATTTTTCTCGAAAACATCTCCCGGACTCAAGAACGAGGTGGAGACGGAGACTAAAAATTTTGACGAGCACGAGAATGTGGGAGATCATCTTCACTCGCATCCACACTATTGTCATCTCTACCCTACATAAAATTTTCTCTCTCTAATATATATTTTCAATTTTGTAACATTTTAAAAACCAAAAACTAAAACTGGTTACCTTTTTGAAAATCAAAAAAACCAAAAATAAAAAACTAAAAGTAATAAAAACAAAAAACCAAAAACTAAAATGGTTATCCTCTTGAAAATACCGAAAATACGGAGTTGAGGAAAATGGAGTTGAGGACAATAAAATTGAATGTGTAGAAATATAGTACCGAAATTAAGAGATTAATTCACCATTGAAATGTGCAGGAGGAT